GGTGCTTTTTAACTCAATACAGTCTGTGATTAGTCCACCTGGCAGTGTGCTAAAGAATGTTTCTGAGTCCACATGTGATGGATTCCTGAAGCATTTTGTGGATAAAGTGGCATCAGTGAGGATGGGCATTGGCTGTAATGCTCACTCTGCTGTCGTTTATACTCCTCCACTGCCCCCTGCTGTTCTCGAAGAGTTTGAACCTGTGACACTGACTCTCCTCTCTGAGGTGGTCCAGGGGATGAGACCCACAAGTTGTCCTCTGGATATTGTTCCATCTAAGGTTCTCAAACATGCTTTTGACACAGTGGGCCCATACCTTCTCGCTTTGTTCAATAGCTGCCTTAGCACTGGATCTGTTCCTGCAGCCTTCAAGCATGCTGTGGTTAGGCCACTGTTAAAAAAACCTAATCTAGATCCTGCTGTTCTGTCAATTTTTTGACCTGTCTCTCACCTGCCATTTTTGTCTAAGGTTTTAGAGAAGCTAATCTTCATTCAGTTGCAGACCTTTTTGGAAAATAATTCTATTTTGGAGAAATTTCAATCAGGCTTCAGATCGCGTCACAGCACGGAGTCAGCTCTTCTTAAAGTGCACAACGACATTCTGCTGTCCTTGGATTCGAAGGAGCCAGTGCTTTTGATGATGCTGGACCTGACTGCGGCGTTTGACACCGTGGACCACTCAGTTCTCCTCTCCCGGCTGGCGGAGCATGTTGGTGTTCAGGGCACGGTCCTGCAGTGGTTCAGGTCCTACCTGACTGACCGGAGCTTTGTTGTGATGGTCGATGACTATTCCTCCTCCTCCACCCCGCTGTCATCTGGGGTGCCACAGGGTTCCATCCTTGGCCCGGTCCTGTTCTCACTTTACATGCTGCCGCTCGGGTCCATCATTGCCAGACATAATTTATCATTCCATCTTTATGTTGACGATGTCCAGGTTTATTTACCAGTGCTCCCTAACACTGCCACTGCCCTTGACTCCCTCCACCACTGCCTTTCGGACATTAAACAATGGCTCACGCAGAATTTCCTCCACCTCAATGAAACAAAATCCGAATTCATTATTTTTGGCTACGGGGATGTTCCTCAGTTTCAGTCCAGGGTCGTGGGTCCAGTCCGTGATGCCGTCAGGAACCTGGGAGTTGTTTTTGACCGGGAACTGAACTTTAAACAACAAATACATGCTGTTGTCAAAGCCAGCTTTTTCCAGCTGCGCCTTTTGACCAAGGTGAAGCCCTTTCTCTCACGCCAAGACCTCGAGAAGGCAACGCACGCATTTATCAGTTCTCGGTTGGACTATTGCAACGCTCTCTACTCTGGCCTCCCACAGTCGTCACTCAACCGGTTACAGTTGGTGCAGAATGCAGCAGCCCGTCTTCTCACCGGTTCATCTAGATACAGCCACATCACTCCTGTCCTCTCCTCCCTGCACTGGCTCCCGGTCCGTTTTCGGATTGATTTTAAAATGTTAATGCTTGTTTTTAAAGCTCTTCATGGTCTCGCTCCGTTATATTTAACTGAGTTGTTGACCGTACATCGCCCCAGCAGAGCTCTCCGGTCTGCCAATCAAATGGTTCTGGATGTGCCCAGGTCCCACTACAAACAGTGGGGCGAATGTTCCTTCAGGGTTGCAGCGCCTAAACTGTGGAACAGCTTGCCACTCAGTCTGCGTGTTCTCACGGACCTGTCCCTTTTTAAGTCCAGAATAAAGACTCATCTTTTTAAACTTGCTTTTAATACTTAGGGCACACTGAATTGTGTCTTGGTTGTTTTCATTTTGTGTTTTAAATTGTTTTAATCTCTCTGTGAAGCACTTTGGTCCTCCTGGTGTTGTTGTAAAGTGCTATACAAATAAACTTTGATTGATTGATTGATCTTGAGAGACAATAGATTTATCTCATAATACTGAAGGACAACAATAATCTTACCTTTCTTGAAAAACCATCAATGCCTCCAAAAATCACAATACTGTACTTTAAAAGATATCATGAAACAAACTCAAACAGGTCTGTTTATAGTCACAAATAATATACAAAATACTGACATATACCTTATCAATTTATGATTGGTGTCAATGTGGACTAGGCTTAGAGGAGCAGGAACACTGTATGTCCGCCTGGCCACACATGTAAGCTGCACTCCCTGAGTCGCATGAAGAACACCAACCAGAGGCTCATGAGATGGAGCCTGTTCCTGCAGGCGTTCACTCTGGACATCCGACACATAAGAGGACGCGACAACGTCTTGGCTGACGCCCTCTCAAGGTCGTGAGTTCAACATTATGGCATGTTGGTTGGCACCAACTTGCTTATGGTGGGAAGTGTTATGGGGAACTAAGACTCTGCTCCAAGTTCCAGGTTTTCTAGCCCACTCTGATTGGACTCACTGGAGTCCTTAAAATGGCTGCCTTGGCTCCTCCCTCTCTCTCTCTCAGCCTGGCAGCAGCAGCAGCCCTCATCTCCACACATTTACTTCCTCTTGTTTTGTATTGTTTCGTACCCCTTTTTGGTTTTGTTAATAAACCCTGTTAAGTTTTACTAGTTGTTTGTCCTTTATGTTGCCCTCCATGAGCCGGGGTGTAACACTTTAAGGAAACTTTTTCGACGACTGCAGACATGGCGTCTGTGCGTTGTTTAATGCAGATGGCAGCACAGTACGACTTAAAACTTCACCAAATGGAAAGGTTCACAAATGTGTAAATCTAATGTAAAAATGCTTGTGTATTTTTTCTTGCAGTGCTAAGAGCGAGTGAGGGTGTTGCCTTGAAGGTGTCTGTGGCCCCGTCCCAATACTCGCACTTCCACCCTCGCGCCCCTCATTTGTGCGTTTCCGATAAAGGGTGCGAGTGCGTAGGGTGTCCCAATAGACCCTTTAATTGTTTGTAAACATTGTGACGTATTTTGGTGGGCGGGGCTTAGCCTGGAGGCAAAAAGCTAGAGCGAGTGCTATGATGACAAGCGGGAGTTAACAAGTTTGGTGTGATATTTTTCATAATGGAGGATTTCGAACAGAGTGGTTCGGTCTCGGATCAGTCGGACTATGTACAGACACTTTCTCTGCAGGACCGGGACAACTATTTTACTAAATTAACGCTAGCGGATGGTAGCAGGCTGGCTGACCCATACACCTTGCGGGAGTGGCATGAAGACTTGACGGGTCTGCCGAGGGTGGAGTGGCCGGACATCTACATGTACCTAATCGAAACACCTTGTGTGTACAGCAAAGAAAAACTCAAAGCGTATAAATCGTTAGATGCCTACAATTATGTTCTTAATGGTCATGTTCAAACAGTTGTCTACAACAACTTACGTCCGGATCTTTGTGTGCTACGGTCCCAAGTTTTGCCTAGCCAACGCCAAGGCAAGAAGAGTGCTATGTACGACGCCTGGGCTATCGTAAATCGGGAAAACAATACAGTTTTGACAGCAAACTGCACTTACATGGCTGGGTAAGTTTAAGCTAACAAATACTTGTTTTAGGTTAGTTGTATTGTAGTAACACTAGCTGTAACGAGTGTAGCAACACTAGCTCAGCTGTAACGTCTGCACTGTAACAACAGGTTACAACAGGTTAGATGGACTCAAATGATTTGAGGAAACTGATTCCACTAATGCGTTTAGTTAATCAACTTAAACCAATGAAGTTCTACCAGTACTCAAATTGAAATGATCATGTGCACTCAAATACTTGGGTAAAAAATTGATTAAGTTAATGAATTTGACTCTTACTGCACAAACATGTTAACTCAAATAAAATAGTCTCCATACTCAAATGCTGTATTACTCAGGACTTATTTAAATAGGTTAATTAATTTTACTTATACATTTGATACACCTTAACTCTATGGTTTAAAATGTTGTACCCAATAGCTTCACTCTCAAACCCATTTTAAATGGTTGTCGAGTTTAAACTTCTCGCACAATGCATTATGGTATTGGCCAAGTAGCGAATTACTAGTTTGGCTCAATATTTATCTGTAAATGAAGATTGAATAATGTATTTAAAAGAAAATTACAAGGCACGTCTATGATCAATGTTTGTAAAAAAATTTTTAAATCATGTTCTACAACATTTTTTGTAAAACAGTGCTCTCCATCACAATTAGATATTTTGTGCATCTCATTAAACAAAAGGGAACTAAAATGGTGCATTCATATATGTATAGTTGGCGTAGTTCAGATTAGCCCTGCTGCATTGCAAAAGCACTAGTCTTACAAAAATTGTCATTGTGACAGGCCAAGGAACACTATTTTTGAACACAACAGATTGGCATTTTTGGTCTACTAGACATCTGTACATCAGAGAACAAATTATATTCCTCTTTTTAGTTGATGAATTGAACACTAAGGTTACATGTTAAATAATTGGTACTTCAAATGAATTCCAATTCCTTTTATATAGTTAAATACTGATGTCATCTGAACAAAGCACTTCAATGGTTTCTGCACCTTATTGTTTATGCTACCCTTTTTATGTCTTGTGACGATCGTTTGTACTTTTAGTCTGTTTTTATGTTGTCTCATGGTTGCACTCTTGAACGCAAATGCAAAAGTACCCAATGTGTTTTTTTCTAATAAAAATGGCAAATGAACTAAATTTAAAAAAAGTTGTCAGTCAAATCGTCGTCAGTGGTGCCCAATTAATTTTGGTCAGAGGCCAAATAGTGATTGTTGGGGGCCACACGTTTTTGTGGGAAATTTGTTTAAAGCTTTTGCATCTTTCTCTTAAAATTATGATAAGCATGTGGCTTTGATGTCTAAAATAGCTCTGATCATTTTGGCACAGAATCCTTCATACATAGGTCAACCAAAATGCCATCAATTTATCAACTAAAACTTCAGCTTAGCCCTAGAACGATAAAGACTACTCATTTAACACATTTTGAAGTGACTGCAGTTTTGATTTAAGCTGCCGTCTATCATTGTGTAGTTTTAAAAGAATCACTTGAATGAACTCAAAAAAGCCAATGCACTTCTCCGGGTAGCACAGATGCAAAGCATAAATCAACCCAAACAAACACACGAGAGCATCAGTCCATGATGTGCTGACATTACAACCTGGTCCTCGAGCACAATGAAGACTTGTTGAGTTGAGAATGGAACACCGCCTGGGACATCAGCCATAGCCACAAGTGCAACAGTTCCCTCTTGAAAATCCATTTCGTCCTGCATGGGAGAGAATAATCCAGTTATCCATTTGTACAAATCAATTTACTATAGACGCCGCCCACAACCAACAGAATAGAACCCTTAACCATTTTTTTTTACCTTGCATATCCGGAAGAGATCAGACGAGTCCTTCAAATAGATCATTAGGCCGGACAGGGCTACTGTTCTAATGACATTTATGTCATTCTTCTCCTGAAAAGACAAAACATTAACAAACATCTAAATATGATGATTTGAATTTAAGTCACTTACCTGTTGTTCATAAACTGTCAGAAGTTGTTCCATCTTTTGCCCCCAGGGACCTGATCTCTTCTTTTTGTAAAGCTCAATGAGTTTTGGTGCGCATTTATCAAGCGAAGCATAGAAGAGATGGCGCAGGTTCTCATTAGTTATCCAAAGAAACTCTCTGTAGAGCTGGGGGGAGGGAGCATGAGGTGTCAAAAATGTAGAGCACAAATAAAAATGTTTTCCAGTAAATGATTTTTTTGCCTCTGTTAAAGATTGACCTTTTAACATGTTTCGTCAGTCTTTCCTTGCCTTAGTCTTTCGCAGGGAATGACAACCACCTGAAAAAATGAAAATAAATAATGAGAACTCTTGAGATTATACATCATTAAGACTTTTAATGTATACACCTTTTGAAAACTTAAGTATAAATACTTTTATAACTCACTTTCATATTTTTATAAAATAAAAAAAATTGTCCATTTGACATGGACTGACCCTCGAAATTCGGTACAGTGAAAATCACATCTAAAAAAAAGAGGTAGGCGTAATAAGGCTTAATCTTAAAACAACGTAAAGACATGTATTTTTCTGTATGTATTTACATGTCAATAAATAACTGTACGAAACATAACATTGAATTATTTCATAATTTCACTGCGGCCATCATGAAACGTAAATGTAAATCTGTCAAGTCACTTGTCAAACTGAGAAGGCGGGACTTCCTGTGCTTTGGGCGAGTCAATTTCACTCAGTTTCTGAGGCTCCTTTTTATTAAACTCTGCAGGGTTCCCATGAAGTGAAATTGACTTGCCAAAGCACAGACCGGACCAAGTCCCGCCTTCAGTTTGACAAGTGACTGACAGATTTACATTTCATGGTCGCAATGAAATCAATTAAATGTGTGTGTGATTGATACATTATGTTTCTTAAAATGTATTGACAAAAGTATTTCTGTAAACATCGTTTCATCACAGGTATTGGCACATTTAATTATATAAATAATACATCTTGGATCTTTGTTGTAGCAATGGCTAAATATGGTCGAAAATATTTTCCCCTTTCTGGCAGTTCAGACGTACATCCACACAAGCAGTATGTGGATAATTTGGGTGTGTTTTCATAGGCAAATATTTATTTCGTTTCAATTTTGGGAATTTGTTAAAAGAGGTAGACTTCGCACATCTCTTCTATGACAGGTGCGTAGGAGTGGGCGCGCACTAGGTGGCCAAACATGAAAGAAAGGATGACACCCGCACACTGTCCAACTTGCAAACACCAGTGGTTTATTAGCAAGCGACGTTGCTAATAAACCACTGGTGTTTGCAAGTTGGACAGAGTGCGGGTGTCATCCTTTCTTTCAATTTTGGGCATTTAAAAAAAAAAAAGGCATTCAATTTGGTATTCAGTTAAGACGTGACTATCACTGTACCTAATTCCATCTAAATCGGAGATTGTGCTGCTGGAGGCTCTGGTCCATTTGACACGGACTGACCCTATAACCAAAGAAGAAATTGTTTACCCACAAAAGCAGCAAATTGAGGGATGGCTTCTTGTCGCTAGTCTACACAGGAACCCAATTTCTATTCAGGAGGGACAGAAAAAATAAGTTGAAGTGACAAAGTCAAAGTCAGTGAAAACATACAACAAAAAATTCACAGAATTATTGCAAAACAAAATTTAAACAGTACAATTTGGTAACTATTTACTGTGTGGGTTCTAGGTTATATATGCAGTAAATACGCTCTCAAAATACATATTTTCTAATCTGAATTCCATATTCAGACATTTACTCCCGAACATTAAGACGTTTCTCTCAAATACAATGAACAGAGGTCTTGACGGTCCTTTTCTCCTAGCATAGCACCACGTGATTGAACAAAATTAAGCTAACATCATGCTAACGCCATGCTTTCAAAATAAAGAAATCCCGATACCACGACCATCATCAAAAATACTGTTGAAGCATGATAAGTAAACGTGAGTAATAAAACAACCAACATACGTAGTTGAAGCACGACTTTACGCACTTAACAGCTACATGCCTATGCAACTGATCGCTCCTTTACATATCCTAGCATGACGCAATGTGACTTAGCTAAATTAAGCTAATGCCAACATTAAGGTAATGGACGCTAGCCCCTAGACCACGAGCAACATCGAACATGTAGTTTAAACCTCAAGTAAACGCGAATAAAAATGAGAAATCTACGCGCACTAACCATGACTTTACAGATGCGAATGTACGTAACGCTAGCTCCTTTTGCTATTGTAGTACAGGGCCATGTGACAGAGCAAAATTAGGCTAAAGAGTTAGCTCTATCAGATATGGCAAAAGCATGTTGTTAGCAGAATTATAGAAAACTACAGAGTATACGTGTAAAGCACACGTTAAATCACCCAATGTATTTCTGTCGTTGCTCCTTTAAACTTAATAGAAAGGCGCCATTCGGCAAGAAAAAACGATAGTAGCACTAGCGATATCAATATGGCGCTAACCCGGTCCCAGTCATAGGCAGGGATGGAACGGTGCATATCTATGCAGATTAAGCAAAAGTCAAATCCGTTCGCTAAACTCGACTTTACACGGGTTCTATGGCATATTACAATCTATCAAAGTTATGTAAAGTGGTGCTAATTACCGAGTGAAGTCGACCGGACACGACGTGCGCTCTCATTTCTTCTGAAGACTGAACGACGAGGTTAAGACCGTGTGCAAAAGTAAAGTCAAGAGGGGCGTTCACACTCACCTGCGCATGCGTAGTCAGAGAAAACAAATACATAAATGGATATTGATTATTGTTTCATTTGAATCAATAAAATGTATGCAATCAACCACTTAAATAATGAAATAGTACTGATTACTACTGAGATACTGAAACAGCTCTGTAGCTAAATTACATAAAGTTTACAGAATTGTGACTGATAAATTAGCTCAGTGTGATGAGCGCAGCTCTTCCGATTTAGGGGCTGGGGTTCAATTCCCTCATTGACCATCAATAAAATAACATTTTAGAAATGGCCGAATCTAAGGAGGAAAATAAACGTAAAACGTTTAAAAACATTTAATAAATATGTATGTCATAATTATTGCATTTCTGTGCCCATTATATTTTTGAAATAATATTGCAACATGTTTTGTACTTGATAAAAAATACATAAAAATAAAACCTTTTTGCAAGTGTGTATAACAAAAATATTAACGACAATGCTGCATACATTTCAATACATATTGGATAAAACTCAATCAAAATGAGTTAATGCATAATATATTTAGTTTTGGGCTTTTGTAACTCAGTTGGTTTGGTTATATTGACCTTTCAGCAGAACTGAGTTAGAGTAACTCACTTCATTTAGTAAGATGTACTGTTGGGTTTTACAGTGTGGACCGTTAGGCTATGCGTTGATATGACATTCTGTTGTTTTTTGGGAAAGAGAAACATATTTGACATTTTCAATGATATATTGCAGGTTAGGGTCTTGTTGCAGTCATGCAGCAGCAGTACTGCTTAAAGTAGAGCTGTATGTTAGGATGGGACGAACGGAGGAGCCAGCATGCACGTCAGGAGAATGCCTCTGGAAAAAAACAAAACGTGAGGTCAAACCAGTAAGAGTTAAGGAGATCAGTTTCCAGAGGCCCAGAAGCAAGTTACAAGGAGTACCACAGAAAGTCAGAAAGTTGAATTGCAGCGCCAAAGGCATGTACCACTATAAAGAAATGAAATCGGCAAATGTATATTCAGTTACTCATGTACAGTACATGTTGCTTACTCACCTATTTAAATTGTAATTGGGAAATGTGTTCGAACAGTCAAAATATATGCACATCACCAGGTGCATGACTACTACAGTGAACTGTGAATGATGAAAAGGCCTGCACACTTACTCCAAAAAGACTGTATTTATTGTGATAACGTTTCGATCCAAGTGGATCTTCCTCAGGTCAAGAGGAAGACACAAAAAACAGAATTTATATATATATTTTTAAACTTACCTCTCGATCTTTTGCACTGGCACGCTAGCCTGCTGTTTATATGTAAAAACAGATGGGACGAAGTCTGGGCTTTCAGCATCCATAGATGCCTCTCCTAAAAAGATTTAAATAAAAAAAGACACTATAATAAAAGTCGTGATTTGTGTCCAAAGTAGTATTTTAGGATCTCTGGTATTGCTGGTTTGGTCCTAGCACCGACATTTAATTTGGTTGTTTTTTGTTTTTCGATCTAGTGTAGACTGGGAATAAATCGGCATTTTATGGCTCAATTAAATACTTTTAAAGGCTTGAGATATCATGTAACATAAGTAAATTAAGTGACCAATGTGGGTTATTTTTTACGATCACAAAGAAACCGCGACAGATTCTCCATCAGCAATGTTTTGTTTTGTTTACCCGGTTAGCATATTCACGCTAGCTAATGCGTTGATAAAGACAAGACATTTCCCCGATATCTTCCTTCGTAGTTTTGAGCCAGCTGTGTCCGAGTTGGGTCAGTTACAATTTAGTTAATTTGGACCAACGTGTTATTGTTTATCTCTTACCTGTTATGAAGCGTGCGCTGCAAACCCGAGCATTTCTGATGATCGTCTCTGTCCAGTCTTTTCTTCTTACTGCATTCAACCACAAATGTCTTCGTTTTTTCTGAGAACGAGTGTCCGCTGGAATCCTATAAAACTTTAGTTTACTTACACTAACGCTATTCTTCCTATTCTGGCACCCAAACACACAACAAGACGACATTTTACAGCTGTAACGTTTCACCGGTTTCACTAGCTTCCACTGTCTTTAGCCAGCGGCTTTTCCTGTTTTTGCCTCCAGCTGGAGTTGTGACGTCACTCGTGACGTAGGCCATTAAGGGGTCTATTCCAAGCCCCGGCGATCCAAGATGGCGCCCTATTCAAATGAATGGTTATGCTTGTCACTCCCGGATTCGTCCCGGAAACCGGATTCGTCCGGAAGTTCAGTTTGATCCAATGAGCATACGTAGCAGTAGATTACGTCACAGAATCTAGACGGAAGCGGAAGTAAATATAAAAAACTACCTATTCATGCCTAAACTTAA